CACTTTTCCCACCCACCCTACCTCTAACCCTCCTCTTACAGTTGATTGACAGCACCCCCACTACTCCCTGCTCTTTGATTGACAGGGCTCCCCAGACAGAGGCTCTTATCCCCTGAAACAAATCTTGATCTCCTCCTTCTCCTTTTCTTTCCCATGTCTGCTTCTACGACCCCCCCCCCCTTCTCTTCACTTCCCTCCCTGTAAATGCTGCCTCATCGCCATCACCTCCTCGTTCTACCATTCCTCCATCCCTTCCTCTCTCCCATCGTCTCCACCTCAAGCTATGACCCTTCTTAACCCTGCAGATTATACACACTCACACAAACACCGATTCAAACACATGAGGGACCCCCTTAAAGCAGGCTTATAACGGGGTCCTTTTACAACATGAGATGACACCCCCTGACTCACATAACAGACACTCACTAACTGCCTTCCTCATGTCGTGACACTGATCATGTCCTAAACACACTGACTGCAAACCCCTCAAACTGCAAACACACACAGCCTGAGCTTATTAAACCAATTGGGGATGTCTAAACATGCAGTGAGCTGAGCAATGAGGTAGGTAACCCCCGAGGGCCACAGAGAGAATAAAACAGTCCGAGAGGGAGAAAGCAAAGAAGACTGAAGGAGAGCGATGCTGTGAATTAGTTGGAGGAAGGCCAGGAGCCGGGAAGGGAAAATGACATATGCAGCAGAGGGAAACAGACGTGTGGAAGAAGAAAGGAACAAGAGCTGATGAGGATGCTGTCGGAGGAGACAGCAAAAGGCGCCAGAAAACAGCTGAAAGGAAGCCACACACACACACATGCATGCACGCTCGAGGTGGAGCGAGGAGTGAATGTGGCTCTTTAGGAGTCAAGCAGGCGTATGATAGGATATCGTTGCATGTCGTTAACCCTATATTAACCCTGAGATACTTTGAGACACTCGTTGCCCTGAAGCAGGGATTGGCTGGGCCACACACACTTAGACACACCCCCACAAACATTAGCATGGAGCGAGAGGGTACTTGTCACTCATTAAGCTTACTGGCCTAAGCTACGGCTGACAGTCACTCATTTTTAGTGTGCAACCTGTGCATTCCTACGGTTTAAAGCATGTTTAACAATGATAAACACAATATTTTTGCTTCATTTCCTTTAAAGTGATTCTGAGCGACTTTAATTAGAAAATGAGCTGGAAAAATTTAATTTGTATCGCACTGCATTTGCATCAACTGGTTGTGTAGACTCACAGCATCCTTCACATTTACTGGCACCCTTTATAAAAGAGTGGTGTAATGCCTCTAACCCTTTACCCCACTCTTCAACCTTTGTTAAAGTTGGTCAAACACGGTTCTTTTTTCTCCTTAAATCCTTCAAAGAAAAGGGCTTTTAAAACAAGTTCCTAATATTTTTTTCCTCACATTTTTACATTTAACATCACTTTAAAAATACATGTTTCCATTTAAGGTTCTGTCAAACATGAAAAACATGCTTCAGGATGCAGATATGTTGCTGCTCAGCCCCTCATGGCTGTTATCCTTGGTAAACTACGTTCACACTTTTCCAGCAAACTACGTCTTTTTCATACGTCGTCACAGTTTCACACTTTCCGTGCATAAAACGGTCATAAAAGTAGTTGTTTTTATAACAGTTAGCTTAACCAACTGCTCCAGCTCTGCCTGGTACAATGGCTCAGTAAAAGCAATCAGGATCAAACCAATTTAGTCCTCGTTTGCTGCATTGATCATAAATATGCTAATAAATATAATCTGAGGTATCTCCTTTGTTCTCAATCAGACAAACAGGCAGTTTTTTTTAATTATTTAAAAATTAACTGTAGCAAGGCTACATTAAAGTCAGAATTCTGGCTTTTTTCTCAGAATTCTGACTTTTTTATTGTCAGAATTCAGTCAGAATTTTGAGATTAAAGTCAGAATTATGAGAAAAAAGTCAGAATTCTGAGATTAAAGTCAGAATTCTGAGAAAAAAGTCAGAATTCTGAGATTAAAGTCAAAATTCTGAGAAAAAAGTCAGAATTCTGACTTTAATCTCAGAATTCTGAGAAAAAGGTCAGAATTCTGACTTTAATCTCAGAATTCCATGTTAAACTGAAATAAAATTTAAAAATCTGTTAACTTTTTTTTTTTTTTCAGTGGCCCTAATCCTCTTCCGTAGAGCAGGGCTTAAAGCTACAGTGTGTAATTTTCAGCGACATCTAGCGGTCAGACTGCAGACCGCAGCAACATGAACATCTCCCCCCACCGCTTCTCCCCCCCAACAGTACGGCGAGCGTTACGGGACAAAATGTCTTCCACGACGTCCGCATCACCTACCTTCTCAAGTGATGAGGTTTGTTTACATAGATAATTTTACAGATAGTATTTCATTAGTCTGTGTGTTCAGTACCGTCTCAGTTCGTCTCTCTCAACTTGCCGTAGTTACTTTCGAGCGAAATGGGCGATCTCGCAATCGCTAGTTTGTTGGCTCTGCGCTGCCATAGCGCAAAGATGTCCGCCTCCATGGCTGCGAGACCCGCTCCTATGAAATTATAAATAACGAATTCTAAGGCAATGCAAATATTAAGGTTAAGAGGCTGAGCTCGTAGATGATGATAAATAACATAGTTATGTATAATATATTACATTTCTGACTGTATATCCCTGTAATTGTTACACACTGTAGCTTTAAAACCAGGAAAATATAAATTTCAGGATGGGGCCCTACCTCATATTCCAAATGATTGCTAAATATTGTCATTTTACTTGCAGAAAATCTTTTTCTTCTCACCCACTTACTTCTGAGTTCTGCACCCTTTCAAATTTGGTGTTTCTGTGAAATAAGCGACAACATCAAGTCTCTGAAAATGAAAAAACCAAACAACAAAAAACTATTTTTTTTTTGCTTCTGATTTAAAGTTATTTCTTTTTTGCTGGTTGAAATATAAAATTAAAACCAAACTGCTTTTGATTTACTAGTTAATTTCGCTAATGACAGAAAAACAAAAACGCTTTTCTTAAATTTATTATTTTGTATATTCTTAAAAAAAGCAAAATTCACACTTGTATTTTTTTATCTGATGCCAAAAAGAAAATCAGATAAAAAAAAGAAACACTGACTGTGTCAGAAGTTGGATCTCAAAAGTATGTTTTAAAAGGTGCTATAACTTTTGTGTATTTTCATATAGTTTTTGGAAAAAAAATTAACTTTACTACATTGTAAATAAAAAAAAAATGGAAAGAAAACACTTCTTTGTCTCTTTAAGCCTAAGAAAACATGATTCTGTTTTGATGCACATTTACGACCAGTGACTCGCTTAAAGATTTTTATTCTGCTCTTCCTTCCACATGTTTAGGTCAGAGAGCAGAGTTCCAGATGTTGCATCGTGATGCTGTGAGTGGGGAGTTTGACAGGAAGTATCCCACGGTATCCACAGTAACCTTGACATTCCTTCCTGACCAAGTTCCTTGACATCTCCCAGAATTCACTTCACTGCCTCTCTCTTCCAGCCGTGTTAAATGACGTACAGCCGCACACCAGCCGTCCCAATAACATAAACGCTCCAGATGGTTCAGTTCCTCACACGTAATGGCCTCTGTATCTATTCTTTTATCAGATTGCGTCTAAAGTATCAGCTCCTCCAAATCCTCAACACACACACCCAATCTACACACTAACTTAACCATCTTCCAGGCAAATATATATAATGGGATGTAAGCTGAGATGTCTAAGACAGCCGACAAGAACAAAAAATAAACAGGTCTGTGGTTTAAGTCTAGAACATGCCCTGCACAAACACACAAACAAATGCAATATACACCTTGGTATGTCAACCACCGCTCATTTAACCCTCCATCGGATTTACAGTTAAATAAAAACTTAATTTTCTTTAAATTAGGGGATGATTTATTTTCTCTTATCTGACCTGGCATATAACCTCATGTTCTACGGAGGTTAGAGTTCAAAGTAGAACATTACATTATTAGGTTTACAATACTGCAAACCTTTATCCTTTAGATAAAGGTTTACAGTAATCTTGAATTTTCTTTTTACCACCATGTATTTTTATGTTATATTGATGATTTGGAGAGGTCCAGCCAGAGTCCAGCCTAGCCTGCATCAATAGAGCATTTCCAAGAATGAATTACTAATGTCTCAGGAGGAAGTTGGAAACAATTTCACGCATTCATTTTTAGTAAAATTGATGACTACTAAAGTATTTTCACAGGTTTGCCCAAAAAATCAATCAGACAGCTGCAGGTAATCCAGAATACTGCTGCCCGCATCCTCACTAAAACCAAGAAAATGGAGCACATCACCCCAGTTCTAAAGTCCTTACACTGCATCCTGATAAAATTAATGTTGAATCTCATTTCTGCTTTTCTTTGTCCCCCTTTTCTTTGCTTCTAACCCATATTTAGGGTTACATATTCCCTGAAGCAGGAATGATAGGAAGAGGTTTGGACAAGTTAATTAATCCTCTCTGATAGACATTTGGATAAAAACATTAAAATTTTGACTTAGGTAGCCAAAAAAAAAAAAAAAAAAAGAAAGAAACATCAGCTTTAAGATTTTGGGGTTTGACATTTGAGTGTTTTCAAGATATCAGGCTACAACAGAGCCAGTAATGTGCATTTGCGTCCTCTCTGAACAGATCTCTACTTTACCTGAATCACACTCGCACATGTATTCTCGATTAAGAAAAAAATAGTTTATGGGGTTCTTTTTTTTAAGTTACTGCTAAAACCAGAGCTCATCTTTCCTACTGTTAAATGCAAAGCTTGTGTTTTAAACTCTTTCACTCTGCCTCACATCAGAAGGCGCTGATTCAGTCTGAAGAACATCTATTTCAGTTTGAAACAGCCAATCGTCTGAAAACACAAACATGCAATCCCACGCTGCCATTCAAACAGGTCAGAGCAGTGTGCCAGAGTCTAGTCTGTGTGTGCGTGTGTGTGTGTGTGTGTGTGAGTTTGTGAGAGACAGAGAACGGGGCAAAGAGAAAGTCAGTACCTGTCGATGATAACAGGGTCTGAGGGCGTCTCATTACGATTTCCGCAGCTCTTCTTGTCACAGCACCGACTGAGAAAAGAGACACAAGTTAAAGAAGAAGACATGGGGCAAAGTGAGCTTGACGCACAGAACATTCACAGCATTATATAAAAGTTTCCTATTAGAAGTTTAAATTAGAGAGTCTCTGCATATAATGCACCCTGACAGCAGCGATAGAGAGGTTATTACCAAATTCACATTTGATCAAGTCAGCCTGAAAACAGGCCAACAGAAGTTTAACCCAAAGATCATTTTCTTCTGGAGATCATCGCTGGGAACAATGTTTAAAAATAGGCTTCCATGACACCGGCGGTGAGCGTACGGCGGCACCTCAAAGGAATATACATGATTTTAGAGAAGCCAGCCAGCTGAGAAGTGCAAGGAGTGGATTTCTTAGTACACCTTTATAAATGCCGGCATGTTAAAGTCATGTGAAGTCTACTTTTTTGAGAAGTTTTCCACAATACAATTTAATAAAGTTAAAATGTTCAAACTAATGAACATTTTTACATTTTTTTAATTATAACAATGCTATGATGATGACGTTTGTACTGAAATGATGCACTTGTAGAGGAGAACGATTTATAACAGGAACAGGAACCAGAGTGATTTGAAGCAAAGAGCCCAAACATGTAGATGAATTAAGCAGTTTATAATGTAGATGGATATTAGGGGGAGGTTAAAAAGTCTATGGTGAAGAGTGTCATCCTCAGCCGTGATGATAGAATAAAGGTAGATATAACTCTAAAATAATAGTGGAGGCATGCTGTGGTGAGGCTTATCTTCAATAGAGGCTATGGAAATGGACTAATGTCTGGTCTGATTACTCATTTCACACACCTGCTTAGCTCCGCCCAGTTCTATTTGTTCTATTACCCACTCATCTGATCAGCCTGCATGAGTCACTATATAACAGCCTTCAGTCATCAGTGCCAGATTATTTTGAGCCTTTGGTGAGACTTATTCTAGCGTTCCTGTGTTCTGACTACCTGATCCTGACCTGTTTTGCCTCTTGACCTCTGAGCCTGCCTGTTGCCGTCTGATCTGCTTGCCTGACCTGTCTTCTGACTCCTGTCTGATCTCTACCTGCTTGTGTTCTGAACCTGGAACTGTGACCCGACTCTGTCCTGGGGTCCCCTTCGGCACCCCACTGGATCTCTGACCTCCTGGCTCTGACAACCAACCATGTCACAGATTTTGGCTTTGACTTCGCCATCTGGATCCTGCCTACATTGGTCTGCTTGGTTCTGATCTCCTGCTTGTTCTCCGACCACTTATACATCAGCTTCTGGGACTCTCTGTGCAGCCAGCCAGCTGGAACCATCCTCTGTCTCTGGATTCGGACTAAACTATAAGACCAGGTTAGTGACTCGCACGTCTGTGATCATTCACTTCCAGAAAGATGTGTCATTAACTAGTCGTCTCCAACCACAGAGGTTCCTGCCTTAAGCGCCACTTACTCCGATTCTGTTGTCAATAAATATTCTGAGAAATCTCACTTAATACTGGATTTAGACGGAGCTAAAAGCAGAGTAATCTTGGAAGAAAACCAGCCAGCAAAGGTCCACCTTCTTTCAGGGCAAGAGCACCTTAACCTCCTGAGAAACTTCCTCACGGCAATGGACCGCCTGATGTCCCTAGCCTCCGCTAGTAACTATATGTCTTCACTCAATCTTTTGCATGACAGAAAGTGTAGGCACAGCAAATCTTATGGAGTTAAACAAAAATGTTTTGTTCTGTTGACATGTACTCTGTGTGACATATGCTAATGTATAATCCCTCATGTGTTTCATGTTTTATAATGGAGAGCTTCAGTCATAAGCTATGTTAGTGGAACTTTTAATTTTTGTACAGTAGTTCCTTTTCAGAAAGCTGTATTCCAAATTTGACCAGCATCATTTATGTGTTTGTGCATTGCATAATGACGTCCATAAGGGCTGAAGGCTGTATGGATTTAGAACAACAACCTGGAGCTCCTTTCTTACCCTGGATAGAGTTCTTTCTCTTCACATGGCAAAGGATGATGGGATAGGAGCTAGGAACAGAAGGTAGGAATTTCAAATGAAGGTATTCAGATTGAGCCAAGCTTTCCATAGCTCTACTAACTAATTGGAGTCAGGTGTGTTGAAGCAGAGACACATCTAAATGCAGGACACCAGACCTTGAGGACTGAAGTTTGAGACCACTGTTGTAAACATTAGTCTAAACATCTGTGGACCCAGGAATCGCAAAAAGTTTAAACTAATCTCTGTTCAGATTTTTTTATTGTCTTAAACTGGATTGTTAATGTATGCTCATTTTGGCCATTTTGATAACTTTTTAGTGTAATTTGTTTTGGTTGTTCTTTTACCCAACATCTTTTGAAACAAATCAGTACCTTCTATTATGCACAATTCATCCATCAGGGGTTTCTCATTTGTGAGAAAAAAATATATTTTTTTTATCTACTCTAAGGAAATGAAGTGATATGACTAATAAAGAACCTCTAACTGCAGGATGACTCTTATAATTGTTTTGGTTTGATCACAAATTTCTTGATCTTTGTATCCTAAGAGTTAACTCAAGAATAGAGGCAAATTGTGGCCAACATGTTTTATAAATCAATTTGTTGAGTCCTGCACTGACAAACAAGTGAAGTGGAGGAAGGAGGACGCAAAAGCTCATATAAGGTGTAGGCAGGGAAAACAAAAAAAAAAACTGGCAAGATTACAAAGACTGGCACATATGTACTACAAGGGTGTCAGAGATTTCCTTTGCCTGTATTAATTATGAATAAAGGTGGAAGTCAGAGGGAAGAGTATAAAAGCCATGGGGGGGGTCAGCAATAAAGAGTGAAAGAGTAGGCGGGTGAGGCATAAAAAAGGAGGGGAGAACAGGAGTTTGGGTGGGAAGAGGAGGAAAGGGAGATGTCTCAGGTTTCCCACTGTCACAGATGGTAGAGGTGGGGAAAAAAAGGGACTGACATGTTACACCTTCCTCATTGTCTCCACTATCTGCTCCTCTGCCGCTCTTTCAGCTTTCCCCTGCCATTCGCTTTCCTCCGTGCTATGAACTGGGTCACTGCACGGAAACTTTTGAAGAATGGCGAAGCAATGAGGGTTGGAGAGGAAGAAAAGCAGAGAGTTAAGAGAATAGCAACATGGGGGAGAGGAGGAGAGCAAAGAGCAAGGGAGGAAGAAAGTACAGGGATGAACTGCTTAAGGATGGGGAGGATTATGATGACTTAGACTTAGACAGATTTTATTTTGTCATTTTGTGTAGACAGGTGTAAACAAAAAGACATTTCCTGAGTCAAATAATGATGGAGGATAGAGTTATGTTTCTCAGCTGGCTAAGGGAGGCCACAACACCTTTTAGTCCATTGCAATAAAAATTCATAATTTGCTTTTTTAAGAATATTTCCTGTCATGAATAATGACAGGAGATATCAAAAATGACAGAAGTACCAATCACTCATTCTATGGTAGTTTCATTTTAAAACTTCAAGCTACTTCTTGGTTAAACAGCAGAAGGCAAGCTACCATTTAGCATTGTCATTTGGAGGCTAATAACTAAACTAAAATACAAAATTTCAAACTAGTGATGTTATATTTTGTGATGTGGCTGAGAGCATGTGGCTAATAGCTTCACCATGACAATAAACCACGCTGATTAATGTACGGCCTCGGGCTCTCTGTCTGTGTGCACGTTCAGCATTGTGTCGAGCTCCTGCTGCAAAATCAGCAAAGGAGAAGTTGAGACAACAGCCGTCACGTTGACCTCATCTGTTGCTAAAGACGGGAGCGTATGCAAAGTGATTGAGGTTTTAGTTTCTGCACTGCTTCTCCTGTAGAGATTGCTGTCCAGACAGCTAACCTCAAGGTTTGCACCATTTAAAGGTTCTCAAGCTCGTTTTGATTTTCACTCCTTGCTTTAGTATCCATGGAAGTATCCCTTAAGGCCTGCGGGTCATCAGATTAAATTAAAAATCAAAGAGGTTAGATTGAACCTTTTGTGATTTAATTGCAGCTTAAATGCCTGAGAAATACATGTTGAAATCTGTCAAAAGTCCCTAATGTCAGGACTCCTGTTTTTGTGTCTCTGTTTCTGTGTTTGTCTCCCTTCATCCACCAGGAGGCGCCTGGTTCTGGTCCGCCTCCTCACACACCTGCTGATGTTCTTAAGCTGCTGACTGCCACTACTTCGACGCCAGAGTGTTTGCCAGTTTAGGGTACTCTAGCCAAGCTGAGTTTTGCTGAGTCAAGCTGAGTTTTTGTCAACCTGAGTTTAACTTTGTTTTGTCTTTGCCTCTTGGCAGGAAGTCATCCTGCGAACTCGGATCTTCACTCCCTGGAAGGATCAACTGAGCTTCAAACTGAGCTGGGGTTCAAACAGGAGGTTTGGATCCACTTTCCCCATGAGATCGTTTGAGCTTCTCACTGAAAAAGGGATTATTCTCCACTATGACCCGTTCAAGGACCGCAGGAGTGGCTGTCAGTTACTCTGTTCACCTACTATCGACCGCATTCTGGGTAAACCCTGTTCCGCCCTCCACCAAATCAGACAAACACTGGAACCACGGCACACAGACAGGAGTCAAGGATTCAACAACTTCTCTGGAAACGTGAGTTGGCAACCAAAACCTCTTCTCCAAGTTCACAAGTCAAATTCCCCACTGGACCTGAACTAACCGCTGTGTCTTCCCCTCACCTTACAGTTCCGGTTGAGCAGTGTTCAGAGCAACCCTTCCCCCTCTGGTAAACTTCTCCAATAAAACCCGTTAAACCTTTTCCCTGGTCTCTCTGTTTCGGTTTACTGCATTTGGGTCTGAACTTTGTAACATCATGACACCTAACCTGTTTAATGTTTACTTTTGCTACCTAGGTTCTAGTAATTGGTGATGTCATCATTTAAAATACTTAACAATAACAGGATTAGTAGTTTTTTTGGTACACATTTATAAAACTTTGTATTTCATATAATAATTTTTATAATCAATAAACATTTTTTTGTAAATAAAATAAAAAAAAGATACTGGAGAATTCTTTTAAAAATCCTCCAGCTCTATAACCGAACCGAGTTTTAATGCAATTTTAAACATGCTTAACTACAATAACACATCTTCACATGTATTTTCGAAATCTTTGTGAATAACTTTAGAATTTCAAAGATGTCTTTCATTAGGCTTTGCAGCTCAGCAGGCTGAAGAATATTCAGCAATCTATAGAATAAAATATAAGGGTGCCTGATTTCCCGGCTAAAGCCCCTGGTTGCACATATAGATGAACCCCAATTTATATTGTTATAGTTAAAAATTGCTCAGTGACAAGGTCAGGGAACAGGAACAACTTAATTCATGGGCTAAATTTGAATTTTTATAACTGCGGTGTGCAGGCCTGTGCGTGCATATGCATGCTTCTTTTGTGCCTTTATATATGCTTGTGATTGAGGCTGCACATGTGTACGTGCGTGTAGGTGGGTGGGTGTGCGTGTGTGTGAGTTCCTGCCTATATTTTATAGTCAAGTTGTGGAAGGGGGCCCATTTGTTAGCCATGAAGCAACAGAAGGGTTCAGATTGACGAATGAGTTTCTCTGTGTCCTAATTAACCAGGCGTCATAAAGGCACATACACACCAACAAAACACTTGTGTTTCAACACACACACACTTTCTTTTTGCATAGCATAGGATAGCAAAATGGCTCTATAAATAGAGCTCTTTCCTCTCAACCTACTTTTGCAGAAATTCATCTCAAACTATAATTAAAGCAACGACCATGAAAGCCCAAACTCTTGTTCTTTAACATAAATCTTTTGCATATCGGTGCATCTTGGGGAAGGAGCGGAGTTGGAGGTGTAATGAGGGCCGCAGAAGAATACAGGTAAAAAAAAAAAGTGAGGAGTGGAAATTTTCTGTAGCTTAACAAACACGTTGCAGAGGTGTGGAGGAACAAAGAGAAACGGAGAAGGAAGCTGATGAGGTGTAAGGATGAGTGTCTTACCTGCACATGATCTCATGCGTCAGCAATACTCTGCACATCTCTGGGTTCTTATCCTGTCCTTCATAAACGATTGGCTAAAAAGAGAGACAGAGATAAAGAATAATGTTATATTTTATGTAACATGCTTGAGGTTGGGTCTTCATCAGTTGTGAGCAGTGCCTTATGACAGTATTCACATGAAACTTTTCTTAATTTGTACAAGCATTAAAAATTTGTGGATAATATTGAAGTCAAAACATTTATTATAACACTTTTTTTTTTTTTACAAAGAAGAATCTAAAAAGTGTGGCCTGTGTTTTCACTCCCTTAAAAGACACATTGTTAAAATATCTGTAGTAAGGGTGTACTGATTACAGGCTTTCAGCCAATCATCGATTCCTGGTCTTTAAAAAGCCTGACAGGCCGATTCCGACTTTGATCAATACAGATTTCTTATTCTAACTCATACAGTCAGTTGTTATGAGATCACAAAACACAAGATATTTCAATCTTATTTTACTGAAAGAAAATAATAATCATTGCCTGAGAAACAATAAAACCTCTGATATAACTGCTTTCAAAAAGAAATTTAAATTCAAGGCATTGATGGTGGGAGAGTTTCAGATCCTTACAGAGTAATTGATTTCACCTCTAAGTATCGGCCGACCACCGATCTCCCATAATCAAGAAATCGATCGACCAGCCGGCTGATCTATGGGTGCAACCCGAACTGTAACTGCAAAATCACAGGGGTGTGTCTCTCTCAGCTTTGGTGACTTAAATATTAAAAAGTCCTAATTGCTAAATGACCAAAGCTCAGCCAGAGATGAAAAATAGTATCCATGATTTTCACAATTATCACAGATTTTCATCTAGTTTTCGGTCTAGGACTGAGTAGACCATTCTAACGAGTCAAGATCCTTTGTCTTCATGATGCAGTTGGTTTAATATTGTTCTCTAGCAAACCTCTGATACGTAACAGAACAGCTTCATGTTTACTAAGATTATAGTTCACAGCTAGACTTCCCTTATTTGGGTGACTTTAAAGGAAAATTTAATTCCAGTGTAAAAGGGGGGAAAAATAAAAGTAAATGCAACACAAAACCAAAACATTAAAACCAGTCCAGTGTCTTCCACTTCATAAATATTTAATCATTTCTAATAATCCTAATAAAAAGGATCAAACGTGTGGCGGTAACTTAGCCACACATGAAACTGTTCTGGAGACTGAATATTTTTACCTGCACTGTGAGCATTGTGTTAACTGTTTGGGTTTAAAGCAGAACACTGTGAGAAAATCCCACAACATGATCCATAAAATGCCACATGATCATCCAGGCGGTGATGCTACACTGTCACTCAGACGTGCTGTGAGCTGCCTGTCACTGCATGCACCTGTGCCTGGATTTATAAAGATGTATTTGCATTTTTCCCCCGCTCCTCACACGGCACTCTAACAAACTAGTGGAAAGCAATAAGATTTTGTGTGATGCTTAAAAAATTGGATTACTTTCAATGCAGTAGTTGTGTGATTACATTCGCATAGCATGAAGTTATAAAACAAACCCGTGGGAAAAGATTGTTGAGGATAACAGGTAAAATTCTCAACTCACATGATGAGCCCCTCTTTCACACACATTCAGTCAATTTCAAAGCATAAACACAAGAACAACAGCATCATTGCAGCTGACACACTGTACAGGTGAGTTTTTAGCTAAAATTAAGCTTTATTTTCTTAACGATACCCACGCTTTCTGCTTCTGAGATCCAGCTGAGGTGTAGACGGCTTTCATTATGCAGCCTTCCAGCAAATGTGAGGAGGCTCAGAATAAAGTCGTACACCACTAAGCTATCCATCAATCAGTAGGTACGCCCTGTCTATCTTTGGTCTATTCCAGTCCCTTTGATCTGTCATTCTGAAGTGCAGCAAGTCTCACCGAGTGACAAGCTCACTTTTCCCAGGCAGCAGCGGGGAAGTTTCTCTGTCCTCTGGAATAATCTTCAATTCTGGTTCAGACTACCCGCTGCCATCAAGCAGTCTTTAGTAAATTAAGTACCTGTGGTGAAAACTCACTTGCTCCCAACAATAAAACTCTGCATGAGGCCACAATTGGAAACATATTTAAGTCTAACGCATCACCTGCTGTGTTTATAATGGTAGGGAAGCAGATGAAATAATTAATCAATCAAACAATTAATCAGAAAATAAAAAATGAATCAATCATTTATTCAATTAAATTAAATAAACAGGGGCTGCACAGTGGTGCAGTGGGTAGCACTGTTGCCTTGCAGTAAGAAGGTTCCGGGTTCAATTCTTGGCCTGGGGTCTTTCTGCATGGAGCTTGCATGTTCTCCCTGTGCATGCGTGGGTTCTCTCTGGGTGCTCCTCCCGTAGTCCAAAAATATGGCTGTTAGGTTAATTGGTTTCTCTAAATTCTCCTTAGGTGTGAACGGTGCATGAATTTTTGTTTGTGTCTGTGTTGTCCTGCAAGTTTGGAGCGTAAGTCTGGAGGGGGTACATGTCCCCTGAACTTTGCACCAATGTCTGTTTTGGTCCCTTGCATGTCTTACTGTCCAAAAACAATGTAACAGTACACTACACAGACATTCGTTGAGCACTAGGACCAAGCGGAAAGTTGCAGCTGAACCTGAAGCCCGCTTCCCTGAGTTTAGACCGCCTACTAGCTCCTGATTGGCCCACCTTCTTTTCTTGTGTGATTGCATGTCACCGCTGTCACTCCCGAGAAGCTCACTTTACAAACATCTGATGCTCCACTGAATTATGTCTTTAATTTGATGGTCAAACACGCTGAAGTTGGTTATATTAAAGATTACTTGCGTCCCCCGACTTCTGAAATCAAAATTTCGCCCATGCCTGCGATAGACTGGCGATCTGTCCAGGGTGTATCTCACCTCACGCCCATTGACAGCTGGAGAGAGGCACAAGCACTCTTCGCAAACCCCAGCAGGAAATAAGCGTGATAGAAAATTAACGGATACAATAAATAATAGCCATTATCTATTGAAATCTTTAAGCACATGTTAGCCTATTTAAGTAATTAACAATAAATCATTCAGTGTAGGCTCTCCTCAGAAACAAAGAAAGCATGTAAGTGAGAAGCCCTAAATTGTCGCTTCTCTCTTTAATAAAGTTACCTTTAAGTCAAATTTCTTCTGTTTTTGTTCTGAAATTTCGACTGAAATCGATCAGCAGCTTCATTTCAAGATGTTTTCATTACCAATCACTTTTTAAAACTTGATCCCTTGGGGGTAATTGGTTATAATTTGGGTAAGGGTTTATCCCAGACCATTTGAAAAAAGGTATGTATTATTAAACCCTTGACTGTCCTCCAGGAGCCTTCAGGGCTGTGTGTTCCTTACAGGGCCCCATCTGGGGCACAAAGTGCAGACAGAGCCCCTCATTTGTAGAAGGTAGTCCCCTGCAGCCCCCAGAATCTAGCTTAGATGGCTGCAACATTAATGTAGAGCGGCAGTATGATGGAAGAACCACCTCAGTTTAGCCTTAAGCATTTCATACTAATAGCTAGCTGTCTCTGAGACCATTTGTATTTTCTGGAATTGGAGACCCCATGTATTTCAGGGCCCAGGGTCCTTGTCAGTTATAATTTTCCATGCATGCACACCCTAATGAAAATGTATTGACATTCAAACCGGGAGACTGAACAGGTCTAGGTGGTTCAGGGCTCAGGGGATCTGCAAACCCAGGCCATTCGAGCATGATGTGTAACACGAAACAAAAACAATATAAGCCTGAAGCAGAAAGTGTGACAACATGTACACTCAGCAGATGCTGACGTTTCCACGGCCGCAACTCTCATAAAAACGACAAAAAAAAAACTAAAGGAAACGCTTAAAGTGTTTTAATTGACCCGAGGCAAAGCTGAAGCCTTCCTGTTGACGTTCTGCTGAGGCTCAACCAGCAACTGAGACATTAGAGGTATTTAAGTACAACCCATCAATCCACACCATAAGACCAAAAAAAACAGCATTAATGGAGAGTATTCGTACTCTTGAATATTTTTTTTACATTAGGTCTTTCGTGTATCACACTGGGAATTTATGTGATGTAATATTCAAAAACAGCCTCCAGTCATTCTCTACAAAATCTACAAATTTATGCCAAAGTGGCAAGAAGAAAGATTCACAAGAAGTCTGCTTTTACAGTTTCTAAGGAGTCAGGTAGTGGACACAGCAAGCACTTGGAGGAAAGATGGTCAAATCAGATAAGAGCAATAAAACTTCCTGAACTCCTCAATAGGAAATAAACAGCTCCTCGTGCGTGGAATTCTCTAAAAAGAGACCAGAAGTTGAGTTTTTATCCTTTTTAATTGAAAATTAGAGCATTTGAGACAGCCCCCTAGTTACCTCTAATGGATTTACTTTATATGCTTTTCTTATGTACCTCTCATTCTAATGGTATTCAAATGTATTTCTGTTCAATAAGCAACTTTGCAACCTCTTGTCCAGCACTCCCTTGAAAAGCAGTTTTTTTTTTTTTTATCACAATGGAGAAGAAAAATAAAAATACAAAAAATATACAATGAACATCTAGCATATCATCCTTAGAGCTCAGGTGCTGGTGGCAGAAGTGGCAGAAACCCAACATCTGTCTGCAGTACATGAGACCCATCAGTCTGGCTTTTGGGAAAATGCTGCAAGAAAGTTTTGGGATTTTTTATTTCTAACTTTCTGTGTAGAGGAAACAACAAACATCTAAAATAAACACGTTGTGTGTGACTGGAAACCAGATTGAGTTAAACTTATTTAACTGACTTATAGAAGGTAAAAAGACTGCTTAAAGAGTTTTTACTTGATTAATATTATTATGATTTATGTTTCTACCTATTTAAGATTCCTGGCTACACTTTAATGAATGTAGAACCTTCCTGTGAGACTTCTTGTTTGCACAGATGCATCTTTTTTATTCTATTTTCTATCTGCTGAGCTAGCTAGTAATGCAATTATATGGTAATGCACAATCTATTGACACTGGAAGTACTTCATTTTGTTCTAGCAATAAACATTACCTACTATAAGGTAGGGTTGTCAAAAGTATCGAAACTCAAAAAAGTAT